ATCCACACGGTTACAAGACTCATTGAAGTTTCACGAGAGTACAAGATGCCGCTTTGTCTCACGTTCATCGACTTGAAGAAGGCCTTCGACTCTGTGGAGACAGAAGCGGTCATCGAAGCCTTGGGCAACCAGGGCGTCCCTACTCAGTACATCAAGATTCTTCGTGAGCTCTACAGCAACTTTACGACCAGAATCTCACCATTCTACAAGGAGGTCATCATCGACGTCAAGAGAGGGGTTCGACAGGGCGACACCATCTCGCCCAAACTCTTCAGCGCCGCTCTCGAGAACGTCATGCGTCAACTGGAATGGGAAGACATGGGAGTGAAGGTCGACGGCCGGCAACTACACCACCTTCGTTTTGCTGACGACATCGTTCTTATAACGCCGAACATCGAGCAAGCGGAGCGAATGCTGGCTGATTTCGACTGCGCCTGTGGTAAGGTTGGTCTGCAGCTGAACCTAACGAAGACGATGTTTATGAGAAACGGATTGGTTCCTGATGCCCCATTCACGCTCAACGGAACGAACATCACCGAATGCTCCAGCTACGTGTACCTAGGTCGGGAAATCAATATGATGAACGATCTAGCTCCAGAGCTGAGCAGGAGGAAACGAGCGGCTTGGGGAGCGTACAAGAACATCGAGGGAGTAGTGAAGAAGACGAAGAACATCCGGCTCCGTGCCCACCTCTTCGATTCCGCTGTCCTTCCTGCCCTAACCTACGCCTCAGAGACTTGGACTCTGCGCAGGCAGGACGAGCATGCGGTCAGCGTTATCCAACGCGCTGTCGAGAGGACGATGCTAGGAGTAACCCTATACACGCAAGTGCAGAGGGGAATCCGGAGTTCCGAACTACGCCAACGATCGAAGATCAGGGACGCTGCCGTTTTCGCCAAGGAATCGAAGATAAGGTGGGCCGGACACGTCATGCGATTTTGCGATGACCGTTGGACCAGAGCGGTTACCGACTGGATCCCTCGGGACGTCAAACGAACACCTGGACGACCGCCGGCCCGATGGTCAGACTTCTTCACGAAAGCTCTGAACGAAAGGAATGAAGGACTTCGTGTCCCTCGAGCGAGGAGGGTCCACTGGACAACTCTTGCACGCGACAGGGACGAATGGAGACGTTGCTGGCGCCCGCTCGAGCAATTCGATGATCAACGGGACGACAGGTGATACAGGTGACAGGTCCCAGCAGCAGTGAGGAGTTGGTTTTGATAGTGATGTAAAGGGTGGGACGGGAACATATTTGGTGGGGGTCAGAAAGAGTAACGAATGATAAGGACTGATAACAACGATAGCGTAAGAGCTTGAAGGTCACTCGAAAGCAGATTTGAGATAACGCAATTCATTTCAGTATCATTTCATTTGCGCTGTCGTCTTTATTCCAAATAACCTTTCGGCCGCTACACTCCCCGAGTTTCTAAAAATGTACGGTGGATGTTTGAAGAAACATGATAATCGGTACTGGGTATTTCATTCAACATCATTAGCATCAAGATTATTCGACCGCCAAATTATTCTGACATTCAATGCATGGTGGTTGTTTACAGACATCACTTTAGCTCCGTGCTCCACCGCGCGTATCAAGCGGACAGTGAGCTAACGCATTTTTGAAAGCCACTTATTTCCTACCGGTGGAACCTGACGCTCCACCGACTGTCCAGTTTCACCGAAGCCTTCGATTCATGCGCGCGGTTGCGTGCGGAGCTAAACTGGTAATTTAATATATTGATAGACCTTGAAAGCTTCTACTTATTCATTTCATTTCAGTCTTGACAAAGGCGCTAATCGCCGAAAGCTCGTAAAAAAGACGGCCTATGATTCATAGGAGCAAGGGTTCAAATCCAGAGATTTGCAAATAATGTAGGGGTGCTCGTGATTTACTATGCAGAATTGATCCGCGAATGTCTGGCTCCATATTCTGTGATAAGGGCCCTTTCACTACGTTTGATTCCAGGTTAAGGGCGGATAACTACCGTCCCATATCGTAATTATGTCATCACGAAGCACTGATATGGCAGGACCGTTATTCCGTTGGCCGCTTTCAATTTGCGGACGTGCAGACAGACAAACGTATATAAACACAAAAGCGAAAAACCTACACAAAGCATGCGTTTTTCATAAAATGCAGTGATTCAGGTAGTGGACGACAGCATCTTCACTGGTCTAAGCAAACAAAGGTTGTGCGATGATCTAGGTGTTCTCGTAGCACATAGCCACCCACGTTCTTTGAATGCAGCTCACATTGTGAGTTCGACCATTGAGCCGGCGTCAGTGAGTGCAACGAATGCGGTAGCAGTGAAAGCTGCAGACCGATCATGAAGTGTTTATAAGGGTAACAAGCACCGACAAGTAGCCTCAGAGAGAGGTGAAAAAATCTCACTAAGGATGGCCAACAAAACTACGACTTCGATGCTGAAAATCAAGGTCCTAGCTGCAGTGATTCAAATACGGCACTACGATGAGCTAAAAAATTCAAAAATATTAAGTACGAGGAAAGAGCCACGAAGTTGATTAGAGCTTCGTTATTGGCTTATGGTTTCAAAGTCACTGGCGGCATTAGTTAGAGGTGATGGTCAATTGAGGTTTGACCCTTCTCGATGTTGTGAATATCGATGTGTCGAAGCATTCCCGTCGCCAGCATTTGTGACAGATGTCCGGCGGTACTTTGAACGCGTAGCAGCCCTTTCGTTTTTCGATTTTTTTTTACCAAAACAAATGCAATTTTTTGTTCTTTTCGTTCTTATCGTGAACGATGGGTCTCAAGCCAGTGAATTATGGTGAAATAGAATTGCGATTTTTCCGGGCAGAATTCCTTTCAAGGCCAACTCCGGGATAAAGCGAGGATTTAAGTGTGAAGAGCTGGGTGCTAAGTTGATCGAAGGTAATGAAAAAAGCAGGAAATACCTCCAAAGAACTCCAAAATTAGAAATTCCTCTTCGTTAGTCGCTTACGAACCAGGGCTGGGAAAATTACGTGTTTGGACATGTCTACAGCAACTGTTGGTGCCATCAACCGACACGGCCGCAAAAAGTCAGCAATGAAAGCTGATTTTTTCTAATTTCCCTGTTTTACTAGTATGATGACAAGCGTTCTCGAAAATGGTCGTAACATAGGCTTTGATGTTGATTTTCGCAGTTGAAATCCGCTAAATATTCCCCTACGACTTTCCAAACAACGGCTTAACATCTAGCGTTCCAGGTGGTTGTTTGGAAGATCACGTAGGACGGTGGGCGGGCTCAATGGGGTTGGGGCGGCGCCAATGCTCCAACCTAGGCTCCTAGCGCCTAACCTTATCAAAACGCCCCGCCACTTCTGCACATGGTCTGCCCTTGCGTACTGCTGCATATTTGACGGGGAAAACCTAAATTTCGCCAGAAATCCCGGAATTTGCCTTTAGCGAAACGTGACTATATGTTGAGGCCATTCTAATACTTACATGTTACACTTGTATTAAATTCGCATTACATGAAATCAAGGAAATCAAGGAAGCTCTTTGCAGAGGTCAGTCAAAAAACATACTGCAACATGGACATCTTTAATTTCTTCACATACAGAATCTCAGGTCCTTCAGGATCCAATGGAACTTTAGAAGTAGGGCAAACAGCCAGGTGCGCCTCTTTCGTTGCCTACCATTTCTATGTATTGGAAAACCTACATGCACACTGCTTATTTTTGGTGAATATTTAAAAATTGTGTTAAAGCATCTACCACCTCAGTTAATAATTGTAGCCTCTGGTGTTCGAGCAAAAATGGTAATGAAAGTGTAACGGTGACATGCGATAGAACTGGATCATTCGTTCCACATCCTTCAACTCTCAGTTGCTCCATTAAGGGTTTGTCAACTAATTTCGAGGTGGAACTTGATTAGAAGGTTTCTCGGTGGTCCGTGTGGTGCGGAGAGTTTTTGGCAAATATTGACTCACTGCTGTTTAAGACATGAATACTCCCTGGACAACCAAAACGATCGGAGCGTGCACAGAATGTGACATTCTTGGGACAGAAAAATGCAAAAAAGAAGCGGATGAATTTGTCTGTGATTGCCACGAAGGCTGGACAGTAGGTTTTTTCACTTCAAGTGTAATGACCAAGTGGCTCAGGGTTCAGCGAAACCCAACGTCGCAGCTGACGGATACGGGTTTGAGCGACATGAAACTCGACTTTTTAAGCGTATTTATTTATTTTGAGCGTACTTTTCAAACGGATCATTTTCTACTTGTCACGCATATATCAGGTGTTATATAATGGGAATACGTCTGCAGTAGCCCAAAATGTACGCTTATGTCATTGCTAGCCGCATGCAGCTATATGGAGCCCAAAGAACTCACGCATTTTGCAAGTGTTGGAATGTTCGTTCAGAAGGATCATCTATATTTCTGAGGTAGAGCCAAAAAACACAGTTCAATATTTTATCGATTCCTTCTGGAAATTCCTGCTCAAATGGAAGATGAGGTATATCGTGCTTCCAGATTGAGGTGTGCTCATTAAGAAAATGATGCACTGACTTGTTAAGATTTACAAAGCGATCGGAGCGTGCACAGAATGTGACATTCTTGGGACAGAAATATGCAAAAAAGAAGCGAATGAATTTGTCTGTCTTTGCCACGAAGGCTGGACAGTAAGCTTCTTTTTCTCTTCAAGTGTAATGACCAAGTGGTCAGGGTTCAGCGAAACCCAACGTCGCAGCTGACGGATACGGGTTTGAGCGACATGAAACTCGACTTTTTAAGCGTACTTATTACTTTTCAAACGGATCATTTTCTACTTGTCACGCATATATCAGGTGGCCGGGGGGGGTGTTATATAATGGGAATACGTCTACAGTAGCCCAAAATGTACGCTTATCTCATTGTTAGCCGCACGCAGCTCCATGGAGCCCAAGGAACTCACGCATTTTGCAAGTGTTGAAATGTTTGTTTAGAAGGATCATCTATATTTTTGAGGAAGAGCCAAAAAACACCATTCAAATATATTTTATTGATTCCTTCTAGAATTTCCTGCTCAACTGGAAGATCAGGTTTATCGTGCTTCCAGATTGAGGTGCTCATTAGAAATGATGCACATACTGTCAGATCTGCTTTTCATGAAGCATTGATGTCCATCGCTTCACACTGTGACAAAGTGCTTATGGATTGTCAGAAACTTGTTTTTTAGGATGTTTTTGAAGAAGTGTTTGAATAGGGATTGTTCGAAATATAATACATAAGTGCGAGTTCAAATATCAGCATTCTAGTTTCCGCCTAGAAATAACAGAAAAAAATTTGAGAATTTATCACTTAATGTTGATCTGATGTTGAAAACATTTCAGTCTCAGTACATCACAAAAAATAAGCAAAAGAATTCCAAAAAAACCTTCAGTGATGTTTTATTATGGTGTCCGGAAAGTTTCAAAATAATTTAGCCTTTCAAGACGTGGGAGCATTCTGCCGTTAACCCTTTGACGACAATGCGGATTTGCACGTAGCGTGCTCGTGGGACCACGCCTCTTTTTGGCGCGCCCAACTCTCGCACAAAATGGGGCAAAATTGTCCCTAAAAGCAGTTTTTCTATCAAAATTTTGACTATGACAATAAACAAAATATGACTGCAGTCTTAAGCTTTATGATCATGTATTGTTGGAATTAGAAGTGGAAGTTTGGAAAGAAATCTCGGATTTCAAAGGGATGGTGTTTGAAAACTTAGAAATTCAAATGTACAGTAGAATTTTTGATATAGTTCAAACTCCTTCTTGTGTCTTAAGACTGTGAAAAGACGTAGAGGTCCTGATCTGTAATTCACCTTAAGCTTAATAATGTAAAACACTAGTTAATACATCGCCGAGCGAAGTGCCATATCCTAAATATTCATATAAATTAGCTAGTAACAAAGATTTCTGCCATTGTCTCACGCGACGGTTATAGTGGCACCCACCGGTGGGTGCCATTGTCGTCAAAGGGTTAATGCTCAACTCTGCGCCAGCCTACTTCAGGCCGATGTCATAGTTTGCGAATCGAGCGATTCGCTAGCGAATCGCTGGATCCGAGCGTTGCGCCAGCGAATCGAACGTTGCACCAGCGAATCGAACTTTGCGCCAGCGAGTCGAACGATGCACCAGCGAGTAGAACTATGTACCTAGCGAGTCGAAGGTTCAAAGAAAGTCCTCGAAACAGTGTCCTTTTACAAAAAGAATTTCCTCTAAACGTTGAGTCCCGCCACTTTCAAACAGTGTCGAGTCGCTGGTACATCGTTCGACGGTGCATAGCTCCACTCGCTGGCGAACTCGTTCGATTCGCTGGCGCAACGTTCGATTCGCTGGACGCAACGCTCGGATCCAGCGATTCGCTAGCGAATCGCTCGATTCGCAAACTCTGACAACGGCCTTACGTGCGAATTTCTCGCGTCTGAATGGCACTTAATCTTGGAAACAATGGATTTGCTGCGAGGGTTGTCAGGTTACTGCGGCATCTCTGCTCTTCGTTTTCTCTTCATACAGAGCCCACCCTTGTTACGTGCATTTATGAGAGAGTGAGCTTCAGCATTTGAAAAAATTAGATTTCGTTTTGCAAATGGGCGATAGTACCAAACTAGGGGCCTCACACCTTTGAAGCCATAGCTCAAATTGGGAGTTCGCCGAGGGAGTTGGGTCTTTTCGTAACTTTATAAAGCAGTTTTGGGGAGCACTTGCCGG